CCTGTGGGAATGAGACGACGGGGTAGACCAAAGCTGAGGTGGATGGATGGGGTAACACAAGATGCGGAGAAGATCGGAGTCGGCAACTGGAAAATTCAAGCAAGGGACAGAACAGAATGGCGTAGAAAGCTTGAGAAGGTCGAGGCCCTCTAAGGGCTGTAGCACCAAGATGATGATGATGATGATGATGATGATGATGTGAATGCAAACGCTCCCTGGAGATTCTGTCTGCTCAGGTAGCGGATAATCCTTTAAGGCTCTTCTAAAAACTAACAAATGTTAGCCTGAACCTGAACATCAAGGTTATTACAAAAGATAAAGAAGATATAATCTCCCATTTGTGCCACCCCCATAATTAGGATATAACATGATTGCCGGAAACAAACAGAAATTCAAACTCGAACAGGCACAACTTTGAAGGCCTTGTTGCCGATATACTCCACAATAGGTGACCAATAATAGGACCAATAAGAGCTGAACCTTCATCGTATCATCCGTCTTTAAACCGCCCGGAAAACCAGTCGACCTACAAATGCTGTAAAATTTTGGGATACAGGAAATTCGGTTCGTAGTACAAGATTTTAACAGCCACAGTACATCATAAATCATAAAGCTATAATGAAATCAATGCAAATGATCAGCTGCTGGAAGAATGGGCAATCAATCGACTCTCCCTAATACAAGACACAAAGCCGTCATATTCGTTTAACATCAAGATGTGGAAACGCGGTTACAACCCCGATAATTACTTTGTAAGCGAGAAAATCCGAAAACTCAACATATGCCAATAGGAGACCGAATTTATGCAGCTATCAAAATAACCGCGATACCCTTCCGAAGACGTTTCATTTTCAAAAAGGTCAACTAGACTGAGTATTTTGACAACTTAGATACTAAATTCGAAGCCCTAGATCCAACACCAAAAAACTGTCTAACCCTTATACAAATCCTGTAAAGGTTGTGTAAGCAGCACATGGAAACAATAGACTGTGGCAAAGCTGTTATAACAGCACTGAGCAAAGCTCGACAGTGGAAATGGATACATACCCTTAAGCGTATAGTCATGTCTCATCGCTTATGCTGTTAATTGTATTATTTTGTGTTTTTTATTTAACATTATTTCGAAGCCACCATTAGAAGACTCTCCTCTATAATAGGTTTACCGACGAAAGAACCATTTAATCTTCAAATTTTCGCCGTATTTCGGATAATCCTAGTATATTTCATTTTATATGCTTCAGCTCGATTTCAAGTTACATAAGTTTTTCATCCTGCATCAATGTTCTGGTGTTATATGTTGCCATAAATCATATTCTTTGCCGTTGTCGCTTCTTAAGATAGCCTGGTCAAGTCCGCGTATTCTTAGCTTCTTCGGTCTCTCTACCTCTGAGACTGCTACCATAGCGTGGTTTCAAGAGACTGCCGGAGACTGAGGACCTTGCAATTTCTTCGTTGCTCATTTTACGGGGATTCCTGGCCACTTCTATACCACGCTAGCCTATGCGGGTGGATGGTAGGATGTTTTAGAAAATTTGGGGTCATTTTACAAGGACGATCGGTTGGGACATGGTACCCTTTCGGTTAAAGGAAGTAGGAGTGAACCACGGCTCGTATAGGCAGGGTCGCGACCCTGAAGCAGACCTAAATTTACTGGGATCGTAAAGTGTATCTACCCGCTACCTTTCTAAACCATACCTGTTATCAAAATGTTCAAATATGATATTAAAAATACCTCTCATCATGATGCCATCTTATTTGAGATTTGGTTTGCAGTACATTTTTTTGTCTATCTACTAATAGTAAATTATTCGAGACAAATATTTCACAAGCAGTCGTCGAAATTGTTTTGCAAAAACAACAGTGTATCTATTTAACGTGTTAGGTAAAAAGAATAGCACGAATTAGTTCGATTAACACCTTGAAATTGCGTGTTCAATCTCATTAAATTAATTTGGGGATATTATTAAGAAATAACAAGAAAAGGAAATGTTGCTGCAAATTTAGCTGAAAGTTTGCTTAAGCTAATTAAGGAATTTCCATTGCAAAATATAGTAGTTAATGTATAACTGTGGTTGTTGTTATGTTTATGTCCATCTATCACTTTATAACATTTTAATATATCAGATTTTAAAATGGCATTGACATTATCTTAATGCTTTCTTGTAATGAATTAATTTAAGGATACTTCGTTAAAAGAAAGATAGTTCATTGGTAGAAACCAACATTAACACCAGACTCTTATTTTATAGTACGCGATTATGGCAGAAAATGATCTTGTTAGTAACTTTATGATAAACTTGCTTTGAAAACAGGAACTGTACTAAATTGACATTAATTTTATAACAAATTTATACTGGTAACAAAGAGCATTTGTGAGATTTGATAATAGGCTAACCGACTGCATTCTCATCAGAAGATGTGTGAGTCAAGGCTGCATACTTTTTCAAAAATTTCTTGAACATGTCTTTAAAATTTCCTTGAGAACATTCTAGAAGGCACAAAGGTGAACATGACACTGTTATACTAGCTTTTAGTAAAGGGGGACTCTAAAATCTCATTGATGCAGTAACAACGAAGGGAGATGCTTGTGGGTTAAAAAACACAAAGAAATAGTTTTAAGAACAATCGGCATAAATAGATAAATGGTAAAAAGTGTTAAACTAAGATAAGCAATAAGGCTTAATAATAAAGAAGATGATAGGAAGAAGATTCCGAGCAGAAGACAATGTTGATAGCTCAACAGATAGGCTCGGAGACTGGACTGGTTTGAATATATAATCACTTTTAAGGATCGCATAAAATTGGTAACAATTTGCTGAAATTGTAACCTCTACCTAATGCGATGAAGACGGTATTAAAAGAAGTAATTTCATAGTAAATACTTAGGAAACCTATAAAAAACCCAATAAGTAATGCAACACAGCATTACAGCACAATAATTATTTGGTCTAATGTTTAGTTTCCTGTAAATGTCGATATCAATATTTTTTTCATTTCACACTTCAATTTTTTTAACTGTATAAATCATGGTAACCTTTGATTTTTCAAATCAATTTGACAATTGACTTACTTGGCCTCGATATAAAACTTTAAATTATAGGAAAAAAAGTTAAAACATCAGAAAGTAGTGCAAAATAGGTTCGATTAACATCTGGAAATTCTTAAAATAATTTCAGAGTTTTAAGATTGTACCAATATGTGTGGTTCAGAATAGTTAGGTGAGGTAATTAAGTGTTGTATAGACAATAACTGAATCAAGTTTATAAAAAAGCTTCTCAATATAACTGTTAGATTCACTCGCGGACTGGTAGTCTTCATATAAGCAGGCTTCACACGCGAGGATTCGTCCAGGTATATAGAATTTTTAACAGAATGAGACATCACTGGGTGCGTGGTTTGGTTAGTAAAAGTTTAAACCTAAGGGGTAATAAACAACAAACACGTTACATTGACGTTCACCGTACCAGCAAGCGGCGAAATAAGCTCATCTTTAAGGTTGAGCCATCATGGCGGGAATATTGTTGTGTACTGCAGGGGCTGTTGTTACTTGGCCCACTACGACTAGGTAACAGTTACAAGAAAGGATAGGACAAATTAAATTTAATAAATTAGATTGTGGAATGGTGTGAATTAGAACATTTTGTCTTAAGGGGACTGTGATGGTAGCTGTGTAGGTACACCGCAAGAAGGCGGTACTGGCTTTAAATTTGCAGTAACTAAAGGTGAAGATAAATTGACACTTGTCAGAATTGGAACAGAGACTAAAACATTTTGTGTAGACGGAGCTTGACTTAAAACCAAAGTACTATTTGTGGAGGAGGAATGTTTAGAAAGAATGTGCGGTGCAGATATTACAGTTTTCGTAATGACATTTTCTTCTTGAGTAGTTTAAAAAGTAATTGTTTGTGCTGCAATCAAATTCTTTAAGAGAGACTGGTCGGTAACAACTAATGTTATTGGAAGTGATTTCATAAGTTGAGGTATTTGCGTCTGAGCTTGAATAATTGCAGAACTAAACGAAGTACTTATAGTGATTTCTTAAATCTGTTTTTCACTCACTGAGGAAGAAACCATCACTAAAAAATGTATTTTTAACTTCTTTTTGTTCATTTATATTCAAATCAGTACTTTTAACAAGCGGCCGCTTTTAATTTTGTATCAGTCTTAGAAGGCTATTTAGCTTCCAGTTTTTCCTCTCAATAATATAAGGAGATCTACATAGTTTTCGTATGTAACATCTACTTCTGTCTTTTAAATTACCAATATTACTGTTAACTACACTCGCGGTATTCATATAAGTAGATTTCAGTTATCAAGTAGCAGGTTCTCATTCGCGGTATTCACACGCGTGGATTCTCGTATAAGTTTTAAGCGTTCGTAGCGGATTAGCAGTGTTTATCTATAACGCATTTGCGGTATTTTTTCACTGTATACATGGTATTGTTTCTTTGTGAGTGATCGTTCACTAGGAGAGACGTAAAAAGCATCTGTTGGTTACGAACATCAAAATCAGGGAGGTACTAAACAACGTTGTCTGCAAGAGTCAACATTAGAGAGAGCGATTTTTCTTTTGCATTGTCTAAGAATGTCTGTATTTCTTGAGAATAGGGTTAGAGTCAAGAGTAGGAGGTATTATTAATGGTTGGCTTAGGTTATGATTTGAAATTGAGGTTGGTAAATTTAGGATTTGATTTAGGATAAAAATATAGTATTGTTTGCATGTAAAAAAGTGAATAGGTACAAAAACAAAAATAAAATGGAATGAGTATACTGGTAGAATGACGCAAAACAGAATACTAAGAACATCTCGCGACCACAATAAACGCTGGTGTAACTGTTTAGAAAATACCGAAAATTAAACAGTTACTCTGTCTATTAAGAAGAATAAAGAAGAAGAAAACACTCATCAATTTTAGTACTACGATATGTCATAAGTATTTTCTAAATAATCATGGTTTAAGTTGTACAAATAATAAAAAAATGTGAATGAACAAACTTACTGTATGGTTGCGGTCGTGATCCAAAATGAGGTTCCTGGAGCAACGGTTGCGGACGACCGTTATTTGTATTTTCTTTCACTGCAAAATAAAAACGACAATTACTTTTGCGAGCAAAAAATAAAAAAATATATAAAAAGGGGATACGTTATTTATATGTTAACATTAGGTTATTAGAAAATATTTATAACTATATTTCTAGATATAACACTTTAATAAACCTTTGCAAATTGTAAAATATGTATTTTTTTTTAATAAAGGTAATTAAAGAAGAGAAGATATTTAGACATATATTTCTACAGATAACACTTTAATAAACCTTTGCAAATTATAATATTATGTATTTTTTTTTTAAATACAGCCAAAGCTAGTGTATAGGTATAAGTAAAATTTAATATTCCTAATGGGTGACTTTATTACTAAAAGTAAATTATATTTAAAACATATGAAGACTTTATTAGTAAGTGAGAAGGAGTTAGTAATAAATCATGTGAAATATACGAAAAACGGCATTTATAATAAAGAGGAAGAAGTTTCAGTCAATAATAAAATTTGAAACACCGGTATAAAATTTAAAGCTGGTAACCGATTTTAACCAATTTTTTTTCAAATAGTAATAAAAAATCTAATTTGGGATATAATTTAAAATGTTTATTCAAATTTTCAGGGCATATTACGATACTTTTTGTTAGTCATAAATGAAGAGTTTTATTAGGGACATGTTTATTAAAAAACCCTATGCCACTGGATTGAGAGTGGCTTTATATAGCTGTGCTAAAAATTTTATTAAAATATATTTCTTAATAACGAAGTTATGAAAATTTGTGCTAAAAATTTTATTAAAATATATTTCTTAATAACGAAGTTATGAAAATTATTATTATATATATATATATACATATATATATATATATATATATATATATATATATATATATATATATATATATATATATATATATATAGTACAGGTTGTTTACAACTGTCGTTGTTTTCCTGTCCCTAGTTTCCATCGTTTCCTATCTCGGGTGTCGGCTTCATTTAGCTGTCTTCCTTCCATGGCTTCATTCACGTCATCTCGCCAGCTTCTTCTTAGACGCCCTCTTTTCCTTCTTTCGGTTGGGATCCATTTTAATATTTTCTTTGGCCACCTCTCGTCTGCCATTCTCTTTACATGACCGAACCAAGTTAGTTGTTTTTTCTGGACTTCATCTATAATGTCTTTTTCTTGCTCCATTCTACGTTTTATTTCTTCATTGCGGATTCTGTCCATCCTTGTCAATCTACAGCTTCTTCTCATAAAATCCATCTCGGTAGCTTGTAATTTTTTCCTGTTTCTTTTACTAGTGTCCCATATCTCTGCTCCGTATGTTACCACCGGCTCAACCAGCGTCTTATATATTCGTTTTTTCGTCGTTCTTGTGATTTTTTTATCCCAGAGAATGGAGTTTAGGCATTTGGTAATGTTTCTGCCTTTGTTTATTCTTGTATTTATTTCTTCATGGCTATTTCCGTCTTTTGTAAACACTACTCCTAGGTATTTTACTCGATGTGTTCCTTTGATTTTGTCACTCTCCAATGTCAGGTCTTCGACTGTATTTTTCCCCGCTGAGAGATATTCGCATTTTTGTAAGTTCATTGTCAGTCCACATTCTTCGTACGCTGTTTGGAGTTTCCTAACCATATAGCTGAGGTCGTCTATATCTTCTGCTACCACCAGTTGGTCATCAGCGAAGAATAGTGTATAGAGAATATCCTCATCTATTTGTATTCCCATATTTCTGCATTGTCTTTGCCACTTTTGTAGAGCTTTGATGGTACACAAGGCAAATATCGAACACAGTATTTAATTAAATCTTGCCCAAGTACTTTCGATCACAAGATCATCCTCAGGGGCATCTGAAATAAGCGAAGAAACGTTTTTTAAAAAAGAAATTTTTAATTCACTTGGATAAAAACTCCAAGTTTATAGTTGAAAAAAGTTTTTTTTATGTGATTAACGTTTATAGACTTACTTCGTCAATTGTGGCCTACCCAGCAATAACCGAATGTCATACATGTAAACTGGGACATAACAAATACACTAAAGACAAACAAACACTTTAAAATTTAAATTGGAGAAGCTACATTTTTATATTATAGAAGCCGGAGACAGAATGGCTCCCAGCCTGGCGGAGGCGGAAATATTGGGGTGACATGTGAATATTTCCGCCTCCGCCAGGCTGGGAGCCATTCTGTCTCCGGCTTCTATAATATAAAAATGTAGCTTCTCCAATTTAAATTTTAAAGTGTTTGTTTGTCTTTAGTGTATTTGTTATGTCCCAGTTTACATGTATGACATTCGGTTATTGCTGGATAGGCCACAATTGACGAAGTAAGTCTATAAACGTTAATCACATAAAAAAAACTTTTTTCAACTATAAACTTGGAGTTTTTATCCAAGTGAATTAAAAATTTCTTTTTTAAAAAACGTTTCTTGGCTTATTTCAGATGCCCCTGAGGATGATCTTGTGATCGAAAGTACTTGGGCAAGATTTAATTAAATACTGTGTTCGATATTTGCCTTGTGTACCATCAAAGTTCATTTATTCGAACATTCAACCTTATATTGACTTTTGTAGAGATCGATCCAGATATATTTTAAACAGCGTAGGTGATAAACAACATCCCTGTCGTAGCCCTTTCGTAGTGTTGAATTTCTCACTAAGTTTGCCACCTATTTTAATTGATGCGGTGTTGTTTACATACCACTTTTGAGTTGCTATTATTAACGAAGGTTTTATTTCCATGTTTTGCATTTCACTCCATAAATTATTTATCGGCACGTTATCATATGCCTTTTCAAGATCTATCAGGGCTATATGTGTTTCTTTGTTTCTTTGTTGTCGCTTTTCGATTAATATTTTAAGTGTAAATAGATTATCTATAGTCGATCTTCCAGCTCTGAATCCGCATTGTTCTTCTGGTTGTTTCATACGAATGTCTTCTTCTATGAGGTTTCTAAGTATTCGGGAGTACAGTCGTCCTATAGTGGGGATGACAGCAATTCCTCTATAGTTTCTGACATTGTTTCGTGCTCTTTTTTTGTATATTGGGGTTATATAGGCCTCACGCCATTCTAACGGGGACTCTTCTCCATTCAGGCATCGTTGGAACATATCTTTGAGCATTTCCCACAGTTTATCTGAGCCGTATTTAATAAATTCTGGTGAGATGTTTCCTGGGCCTGGCGCTTTTTTAAGTTTAATCGCTTATCGCTTCTACGATATTTGTCATGTTCAATTCAATGAATTCTGATCGTATGTCTCTGTTTGCATTTTCGTATTGAAAATTTTGTCGTCCTTCTTGTAGTAACTGTTTAAAGTAGTCTACCCAGTCTTTTTCTGTTATGTTACTTAAATCTAATTTATTGTTGGTTGACGTTTTCATAGATTTTAGCGTTGTCCAGGCTTCTGAACTTTTCGATTCTCCAATCATTTGTTCTATGTATTCGCATTTCTTTTCCCAAGATCTATTTTTCCTTTTTGTTATTTCCGTCTTCCAGTTTATTTAGGTTTTTATATACTTCTTTAGAGGGGTCGTCTTTTTTATCTAGATATGTTAGGTATGCTTCTTTTTTCTTCTTTATCGTTTCATCTATTCCCTCATCCCACCAATATGGTTTTTGTTTTGCGCGTCTTTGAGTGCCTATTGCCTCTTCAGCTGCTTCTTTAATACTGTGTACTATGTGCTTGTATTCTTCTTCTATTGTTCTATTTTCTATTACCAGTTTTCCATCTAACCTTCTTTGGTATAAATACTGCACGCTGTTATCTTCTAGACTTTGTAGATTATAGTGCTCTTTATTTGTTGTTACGTTCTTATTTACATTTGCTATTTCGTATTTTCCCAATCTCGGTATGGTCATATTTCTGATAACTAGGTAATGATCACTTCCACAGTCAGCTCCTCTCTTTACCCTAACGTCTAAAACTGTTAGTGTTGGGTCTCATTATAATATAGTCGATGATGGATTTCTGGTCTCTAGAGCGGTGTTTCCAGGTATATTTGTATATATCTTTGTGTGCATAGAAGGTGTTTGTGATTCTTAAGTTGTATTGTTCGCACAGATCTATCAGTCTTTCGCCATTATTATTTCTTGTAGGTTCTCCATGTCTTCCTACTACTGCATTGGCCTATTTGGCGTTTTCTTCTTGGCCTACTCTACTGTTAAAGTCACCTGCCATAATGATTTCGCATCGGTTAGGGATTTGATCTAACACATCTCTTAAAATTGTGTCAAAACTGTCTTTTACCGCTACTGTTTCGTCTTCATTTGGAGCATAAATTCCTATAACCACTATAGTTCGTCCTTTAATTTGAAGGGTCATTTTGATTATACGTTAATTAATACTCTCCCATGACTTTATTTGTTGTTTCAGTTTTTCGTGAATAATTATCGATACTCCTGCTTTTGCGTGGGATGACTTATCTACCCCGCTGAACAGTGGATATACCTTTTCAACTTTTCACATCCGTTGCCCTTCTTTTTGGTTTCCGAGAGTATTGTTACGTCCAGCTTTCTTTCTTCGATTTCAAGTAACACTTCTTGTTGCTTATTTCTGCAACCTGTATCAATAGATAGCTATGAAAATTATTATTTTTTAAATGGTTTTAATAACAAACCATCGCTGTACAAAAAAATGTTGAAAATAGAATAAAAAATTATTAAAAGTATCTAAATTATTAACTTTACAAGCTATAAAACCTCAGATTTCACCTTAAATCTTAGTTGCCATAACGAGGATATTACTGTTTAACATTTTTAAAAAAGTTCAATGCCACTTACATTCGCAATTAAAAACAGGATGAAAATAATTAGTACGCATTTCGGGAGAAAAAAAAATATATAAAGGGACGTGGAAAATTCCGGGATCAAATGAAACTAATCAAATAGACCACATTTTAATACAGAGGGGCTGGCATAGACTCAGATCATTTTTTGGTTAGAATTAATATGAGAGAAGCAATAATTAAAAAGCATAAACGGAAAAAGAAAGTGCAACGTAAATTTAATTTTGAAAAACTGCGAAAATGTGAGG